TTTGTGCGAGAGGGTCGGGGATTCGTACGGGACCGGGGAGGAAAACAAACACGCCTGTTAGTCTTCGGCATTTACTATTTTATCAGCTGTTTTTGAAAACACGGCAACACGAATGTTATCGTCCCCTGGGTCATGGCAAACATCTTACCGCTTCACAGTGCCTCACAGGCAATGTTGGACCACAACCTCCACCGCCATCTTCCTAGAATGTTCTGCTTGAGACTTCGTGCTATCCAGCTCCTCTCCAATCATCTCTGCCCTCCCCCCCCACTTCCCCTCTTGGTTTTCCCTTTCTGGGCCCGACCCCCCTAACTAGGTTGCCGTACCATAGTCATGTCTCCTCTTAATTGGAATTCTACTCTTCTCTCTCCCTGGCTTTCTCACTGCCCCCGTACACATGGGAATATGGAATTGAGATAATATTTCCCTCATGCTGTGCTCTTGCGAATGACCTTTGATCTCTCTGCTTTATGCAGCTCAAACATGGTTGGCTGTTATCCATCCTGTCCCATGCCAGTGGCTACAGTCTGACATCATTAAATTTTTCACAATATACAAATCAGCACCTTCTGCGCCCCCCCCCCCCCCCCACCCAGAGAGCCACTGAGGTTTCTGGGTAAAGGGCGTCCTGCATAATGCCATCCTCTGATGGTTAGTTGCTCCTCACTCCCTGCTGCACTGCCGAGCGCGCAGTCGTCCTAGAACAAAAACGATCCACATGATTTACTACTAAGGCCTAAATTTACATATAGGGTCCTGCCTCACCCTCAGAGGGAGAGAAAATGGAGGCAGGCTGAAATTTCTGCCGCAGCATGGATTTGAGGTGAATTGAATGTGTACTTACCCGGAGGTCAAAGCTCCTCATTGCTGGGCCAGTCGGTACACATCGATTTCGGATGATAAGATGGAGCGCTCTTAGCATATAGCCAAAGGAGCTTTCCCACGAGATTTCAAGTCCTGGCCAAGGGCCAACGATCAGTCTCCTCCATTGCATCATTTCCTGTGATGGAGATGACCTCACAGCCCCGGGCAGAACAATGAATGTGCCAAAAAAAAAGTCAACTTCCTGCTTCAGGCACTCTTCCGATATACTCTGTAGGACCTTTGTGTTCACTGTGCATGTGATTCTGTTCCATGTCATCTGGCTCCTTAATCACAAATGGTACCAAAGTATGACGAACAGCATTTCAAGCACTGCATGAAAATACATAAACATAACCGTGGCCTCCCGTAACCACATAAATTTTTCTGAAATGCGAGTCGGAGAGCTTCAGTCATGGACGTAACGGGACAATACCAAGCTTGCCCAGTGATTGTAATACAAGCTCCGTTACAGTGATTTCTCCACGTTACGGGCCAAACGGCAGCCGCAAGCACTCACAGGCCGTAATTTGCCTGCCTCAGCACCTCAAAAGATAAATATCTGCTGGTAAACAATGACATCTCAGGGTGTTCCAGAGTCCGCGCAGCAAATTCCCCTCGATATCATGAGGGTTGGAGGGTGGATGAGCCAAGCAGGGTGTTGGAGATATTTCTGACACTAAGCTAGCCCTGGATCGCAAGGCAATTTAATTTATGCCGGTTCTCACAGTGTCGCTGGGATGTGAATTGAATATGAATCCGATCTGAGCTGGAAGCTACGACGCGATTTGCGGGGACGGGACCCTCTGTGATTCCATTTCTCTACAGTAAATACTGACTAGAATTCAATTTCATCCCCGTGACATCTCACTGTCTACTGATCTTCGTTCTCTCACGGTGCCTGGGTTCAGCATAGAGAGGCAGCTCCCATAATGCACTGCGCCCCTGCTTTCATCTGCTCCAGCCCGACACTCTCAGAAAATACCTCCCTATGAATCTCATTTGCTCTTTCTGACTGAAAGTATCCAAAGCGCATTTTGTTTTTTTATACAACTGAGAAAAAGGTTCAGGATCAAGGGCTCTTGCAATGTGGAGCTTCTTCGAATGCTCACTGCTTATACAAGCTACTGGGATGCTAATGGAAAAGGCAGGAGTGGGTTGGGAACAGTAGACGATCCCAGCACTTCCTGTTGTGGCTGCACATGGACTAATTAACGGAGCTAGACTCCCCCTCCCCCATCTCACACTCCGTATCTCTGCAGCCTTTTTGCTGTTCTGGCTCAGTCCTGCTCCACTTTAAGTGACTCCAGGTAAACTCTGTACCTTAAAGTGCGTTTTAACTGGGACACACAGTTCTGGTTGTTCCCTGATCCCACACTCAGGTAACTGTTCTTTTAGCACTGGACCCATCCTGGGGAGGGGGGCCTTACAGGCTCCTGAAACTGCCATGTCACTTCCTGCCGAAAGTCAGCAGTGCCCCCGCCCCTAGTGGGGCTTTCGCCCTGGATTTGAGTCGTTTTAAGTGCCTCTGAAAGCTAATGTTTCAAAATACCTTTATTGTGTTTAAAAATACCTTTAAGTTCTGATAGCATCAAGACCCAAGTTGGCGGACGCCCACTCCGCAGCTCGTGTGAGCGCCTTTTAGTGTCTTTACGGCATCCTGGTGAGCTGAGTCCTCCCCATGCTGTTCTCACCCGCCGTCAGAAGGCTCCACACAACTAGGCCACACAACACCAGCTTTGGCACGTCCATCCCCACGCAGCCCCCCCCGGCTCTGACACGTCCTACGGTTTCTCTGCCTCTGCTGCGGGGTACAAACCACATGTCAATGTCATGTGGACTCAATCTCTTCGGGATGTCTCCCTGGCTGTGCTGGGATTAGACATCAAAGCGTAGCGGGCAAGGGGGGGAGACACGCGATGTGTCCGTGGTGCCGGCGTGGCGTGCAGAAGGGATGATGGCGGAAACTGGCTCCCAGGTCTGGAAAAGCTGGATCCTTCTTGCATGGCACTGGGAACAAGCACGGCCCTGTGTGTGTGTGTGTGTGTGTGTGTGACAGGCAGCGAGTGAGCACAGTCCACACCTACTCTGCCTTAATCAGACGGAGTGAAAATGAGGACAGCTGGGAGAAAATGTCAAGTTTACGCAACGTTCTTTCTTAAACAAGAAATAATTACTCAGAGTTGGCCAGAGCTGTTGTTTATCAGGTTGATGATGAAGAGGACTATTACTATGGAAGTTTATGTTACGACTTCCGGGCAGACTGTTCCATCTACTGGGGCACGCCTGTGTTTCCCACCCACAGTGAAACACTACCCCTGTGTGGACATCAAGCAGAACTGCTAGAGAAGCAGGCCAGCTCCATGCTGGTTCCAGACAGATCATTTATAAGTGACCCCAGTATTACACATCAAGATACACAGCTGGTGTTGGTCTGTGTGTATGTGTGTGTCTGGACACACTATTTAGATGTACTGTTAGCCACAGATTGTCAAAGGCACTGCTATTCAGAAAGACTGAGAAGATTTTAAGAACTACATATCAAACACATTCATCAAATGTAAACCACACAGATATTTGCCTCAAAGCTGAACTTAATGTGCCTCTAGCTCTACATCCTTCCATTCCCCCATCAGCCACATCCCTCTCTTCCCTCCTGCTCTTTCCTGCTCCCCTCTTTCCTCGGAGGGCCGATGTCTCCCTTCATCTCTCGCTCCATCTCCGCATAGGGTTACTTCAGCTCCAACATTAGCACCTCAATCCTTTTCCTACATTCATACAATCTCTGTCTGAAAATAACATACTGTAGGAGAATGAGCGTTATTTTCATCAGAGGCTTAATGATTTAATTCAGGTCAATGTTCCTAAACTGCATTCTGTAATAAACAGTGAATTACGCTTAGGAATGGGAATCGTTACACTTGAAAACCAATTCCAAATTTTTAGATCCATAAAAATCCTATACCTCCAACATTATCAGTCCTCCTTATCGATGCCAGCATGTTATAGAACGAAGTTGAAATATAAACCATGAGACAGAATACGTCTCAACACAACATTTTTTCCCCCTCTAGACATGGTAAAACACCCGTATTTATGTGCCATTTTTGCTTGTGTGGTCACGACTTCAAGGATTTCAGCCAGTGATGCTCCTTAAATTTGCATGTATGCATACTGCGATGTAAAGCTTTCTTACAGCATATGCAAGAAGCTACACATATTTCAAAGCAGGTAACATGCAATATTACAGCCATGAGCTGATGATGCTCTAACTAAACTCTTACAATACGATGTGTCATGCTTACATCTCTATCAAGGCATCTGACCTAAGATCTATGCCAGAACGTACATCAGTGCAGAATGGGCCACTGTGTAGTGAACTTTCTCCCTACAACACCAAAAAGTCAGTTTGAATCCTGAGAGCAGCACCCACCTAACATTAGTTAAATCTCAGGTTAGTGTTAGCACCACTGGGAAGCTGGTTTAATATCTGACTTTGACAACACATTTGCATTGAAACATTGTCAAAGTGTGTATGTTCTGCATAAATTCTGAAAAAAAACTGTACGTAAATGATTTGCAAAAATGTTTTGCACAGATGTCAGACACAACACACAGTTTGATGATGCTTCCTGATTTGTTGACGTCAAAGCTGTTGCATGCTTTAAGGATATCGGTGAAACGTGCCAGTAAAAATTACATGAACGCAAAAGTAGAGCATGTAGGTGACAATGAGCATTCAACCGATAATGAAAAGCAGTATTTTAAGTTATTCAAATGTTACAGGCATACATACCTGTTTTTCTGAAAAATAATTATTTTATCAGTTTCCAAGTTATATCCTTTTATGGAAAGAAGCTTTGTCATTTATTTTAACATGATCAAATGTTAGGCAGACATGTTCAGACAATAAAATGGCTGCATTGATGATGAAAACCTGTGTAGGTTTTTTCCACATAAATTGATCAGTAATCAATAAGGGGATTGATAAAGATTCAGATCGATAAGCAGAATCGATAATGGCATTGGTACCGATACAATCTTTCCCCATTCCCTAATTACATCTGACGGCTACTTCTGTCTATCGGGTTTCCACTTAAACCTTGGAAATACTGCGAACTGAATGACACTATACCAAGTTAATCCAATTGTCTTTATAAATTCGTCTAAGAATGACAGTACGCAAAAACAGAAGAAATGAATTTCAGTCAAAATATATCATGAAAATCGCCAGTCAAAGAAATAAATAAGATTATTTCTAAAAATACAACATTCATAAAAGATAATGAAATTAAGTAAATCTCCCACAGTCCAAACTCATGCAGTTAGGCTAATTGGTATTGCTAAATTACCCGCAGAGTATAATTTTGAGTGTGGGCATGTGTGTGTCTGTTCCCTGCGATGGACTGGCATCCTGTCCAGGGTGCACACCTGCCTTGTGCTTCTTAGATAGGTTCAAGACCCCCCACATCCCTGCCCAGGATTAGTGGTTAAAAGATGGATAGATTCACTGTGATGCCAAACATTTAACCATGTTGGTCCTCTGAGCTCCAATGTCTTCTTAAAAAATAACCCATAAACATGGACATCGCACCTCCTGCGGCTTTCCCTCAAAAGGAACTCAAAGCTCTTCAGTGAAAGATTCTCTGCCTGAAAAATAAGGATTCACAGAGCATAAGTGTTAATGAAATGCACGTTACTGAAAACAAGGTAAGATGCTAAGAACCTGAATACTTGTAAAGCCTGAGGTGTTAATCAGTAGGTCCTAATGTGATGTCTGATGTCTTCTCGACAAATGATCCTGATGCATCTGCTGCCTCTCACTTTGCCAGAGGGGGTACCCTCACTGGTCTGAAGCAGCAGGGAGTCTTCGAGTCCAGGCGGAAGGTCCAAGAGGGACTTTGTGTTGCAAGTGAGGGACCGGAACTGTCAGGCCTGGGGAGGACAGTGGCCGTTTCTCTGCTCTGCAGTTTGCAGCCTTTGGGCTCGACAGGGGACCTGGGGGGCTCTGGGCAGGCCTGTTGCATTTCCTTCTCACTCTTCAGCTCTGGACAGAGAAGATAAATGTCTTCAGTAAAGGGTCTTGCAGTGAACCTTCACTTTAAATCAGCATGGATTTATGAGCTAATGTGTGAAATCGATATCTGTTCAGAGAAAACCTCTCTAATGCCATATTATAAGGTTACTGTGTATAACTGTGTTACTTAGTTTAATCATTTTAACCGCAGCAAAGATTTAAAACTTTTACAGGGCAGGAAATTCTGTAACATCAGCTTGAGCATTTTGTTCAGTGGTACAACAGATCCTGTCCTGGGCCTGAAATGAACAACCTCCATGCCTCATCCCTTGACCTCCATGCCTTCTAGTGACCTACATGCCTTCTAGTGGACTCGTATCCAGACATCTTACATTCCTTTGTCATCATTCCTCAAATGAGCAAACAAGGTTATTTGAAATGTTCTAGTTTATAACCACATTTGGATTTTAACACTGCATAATCCCAGGAAGGACACATAAATCGTCACCCTACTGTAAGTCGCATTGGATAAAAGGAGTATACAGTAGAGTAGAGCAGTATATAAATCCTCCTATAAATAAATTGTTTTAATGAAGGAATGGCCAGGTAGGAATGTTGTCTCATATCTCCAAGGCTTATGATTCTTACTGGGAAGGGCGGGTTTGGGTTCAGGAGCAATATGGCTGGCCAGTTCAAGTACAGGAGAACAAAAGGCTTCATCATCAAATGGTGAAGGCTTGCTTCCTGAAGTGTTGGATCCTGATGGACCTAGGAAAGCCAATGAAGGGTTTGTGAGAGTAGCGGCCAGCCTGCAGGCCCCTCCCACTCTCTTGCATTCCCTGCTTCCTCCCTGGCCTGTAGCTTTTGGCCGTGTCTCCTTTGGAGGTTTAAGCCTGGAGAATGGACTGTCTTTAGCAGGGGTTTTCTCCCCAGTGTCCAGCATGTGTCCTGATGGGGACCCAGCACAGCAATGGGACCCCGGTCCCGCAGAGCAATCCCCAGTACAGCTGGATGAGGGGGTTGTTTGGTGTCACCTTGGGGCATCTGGGAGTCCTGTGAGATGGACCTGAGGGTTTCAATTTGGAGCCAGTAGTTTTTAGGAGATGCTGTGGTTTTGCAGCCAAACAAGACAAGGGCCTCCTCAATGACGGGGCATTTGCAGTAGGCTTAGCTTTCATCCCAAAATTTGCAGCACAATGAGGAGCTCTCTCCCCCCCGTTTTTGGCTAATCTTGCAGTCAGACACATTTGGAGCTCCAGAAGCCTTCTTAGATGGGACTGAAGTCTTTATTTTAGGAGATATTTTAAGTGATTTTTTCAGTTTATGAAGCTTAGCTGTGGGGTATGTATCACAATCCAGAGCAGAGTGAAGGGAACAGGAACCACACTTCGGCAGGTCACTTGAGACTGAAGTCTTTGAGGCATGTTGATTGTTTCTACCCAGGCTAGTTTCTGGTGTTGATTTAGCAGGAGATACAGCAGCTAAATTCCCCTATGGTGCTTCAAGGGGTTTGCAGAATTGGCAAAAAGATTCCAAAAGCACCAGATTTTGCACACAAGAATGTTGCAAAAACACATTTTGTGTGTTTTCCACAAATACCAGTAAAATCCATAAAATGTTTCAGGACAGAGAGACCTTCTCTCAGTAGCAGACTCTGTTTTTAATGCAGCCCCTGGCAGAAGTGAGGAGCCGAGCTTTGATCCACTTAAAGGGGCAGCCTGGATCCTTCCAGTAGCCCAAGATTTCACTCCTGAAGGTTACTGGTTGGGAGAGGTATTTTGGGATTGGGGCTCTGCAGGTGCTTTGATGAACAGAGTACATCATACTTGAGCACAGGAGCCAAATATTTTACTTCTAGTGGAGCAAGTTAAGGTAGCAAGAGATCCACTCTAAATCTGACCAGTGAGCATCTGGAGTGTTGTTTGAATCTTTTGCTGTAGGGGAACATCTAGCGAACGGTGAAGCACTCACAGGTAATGGTGTACAGACAGCTACACCCGGGGTAACTGCTTTAATGAAGACGCTTGAGACTTCAGTGCTGGATGTTATCCTTTCTTTGCTGGGGATGGTATCTGAGGCAGCAGGTTCAACCACAGAAATTCCACGAATAGCTGCAGGGCCCCAGGTTTTTTTGGGTGTCTTTTGTGCCAGTTGCGGTGAAGCGAACAGCAGGGGTGTCATCAGGGCTGCCCTTGTCAGATGTGGGAGAGTCAGAACTGCTGCTGTCCAGTCTATAGCTCCAGGGCTGGCAGACCTGCCTCCGGTGTGCCAGAAGACCTGCATGCCGCCTCCCCTTGGCCGGAGGGCTCTTCTTCCTCTTCAGAAAGGTGGAGCTGGTACTTCCGCCCCCACTGAGGGGCGGGGCTGAGGTGCCAGATGGGGCGGAACTCCTCACAAATTCTGCTTTGCCATTTCCTGGGGTCTGCTCAGCTGGCCTACCAGAAGGTCCTGTTAAACACAAAACGTTTTCTGGAATGCTCACTGTTCAAATAGCATTTTACACTAGAATATCTGTAAATATCTTAACTCTTTGTATGAATCCAAGTTGGATTACTTGATTGAAAGCACCATTACAGTGATCCGGCAGGAAAGGAACCTACAAATCACACTAACTAATTAATAACTTTTTAAAACATAGGATAACATTAAACTTTATTTATGCTGACGGAAAATGTTTTGCTAAGACATAGCTCTCACGGTGTAAAAAAAAAAACAAAAAACTAAGACAATATAAGAATACAATAAAATACAATGTTTCTAAGCCCAGCTCTCTCTGGAAGGAAAAAGGTTAAAGCATCTGTCATTTCATTAATAATACAATAACGTGACTGTTTCAAAGAGCTGAGCATGCTCAGAATGGCACCAGGACAGTGTGCTTTCTGTGACCCATCCACATGCTCTCTGAAGCCTCTAGAAACACAGCTATACTCACACGTAGAGAAAACCTGTTTTCTCAAAGTGACACATTGCTAGAAAAATCGGAAATGAAACACCAGGTACCTTCCTTTGGAGACTCTTTTCTCTGGGGGGACTCGGTTACCTGGGAAACAAAGAGATATATCTGGAAGATTCCACCTGATTAGCCACAATTATTGACAGCCTGGAAGATACTTAGTGTCAACCTGCTAACTGAAATAAGGTCTGAAAACCAAGCCCCTTATAATTAAAACCACATCCCTATTCGCCATCTGTTTGTCTCCTTTCCAAAGATTACTTTCTAACTGAGTAACATCTATTCTTTTCTTATTGCTTGCCTCCAGCAAGATGATTCTTAAATGAATTCCGCCGCATGATTTGACTGGGCTCGTCCCGCATTGTTATGCACTGTGTATATTTTATGGTTCCCAGAGATTTATTTACAGCTTAGAATGAATTCAGGGAAACGCCTCAGGAGCCATAAGCGCTAATTAATTTATGGTGGGGCTGTATGAGAGGGGAAGAAGCAGACAGAGCTCCCTACACCATGGAGACTGACAGGTCTGTCCACGCGAGGCGACACGGCGGCCGGTTTGCCAGGAGCTTGCAGCGCTCCTCAGTCACCTCCTTGTGGAGCTGCTCCCGCTTTCTCCGGGAGTTTTTTTTTCCTGGGGGAAAGTTGAATATGACTCCTCTTTTGTTACTGTCCCTGTCCTGCTGGTCCTGCGGATCCCTCCTGACTCCGGATCACTACCAAATTTATTACACTATAATAGGAGCAACAAAACAAACAGGACCGGGTTGGGGGGGGGGGGGGGGGCCCCCCCCCGGGGGGGGGGGCAACACAGGAGGACTAATACTGGGAAAGGCACAGGCAACAAGAGGACTGACGTCAATGAACAAACTGGGGAAGACAGGGCAAGGGGCTGACGCAAAGCAGGTGTGGATGGTGCACACAATAGTATTGTAGATAGTGAGCAGCACACACCTGGGGAGAATTAGGAGGGATCCGGACAGGCACAGTAAGAAAAGAGGAGTCAAATTCAACTGGTGACACGGATACGACGAATATGGTGACTCGTATATGCAAGTAAATTTCCTTTATGTCAGGATCTATAAAACCACAGCAAATCAATATATTTAATACAGGATCTGACACGTGAGAAGAAAATAACTGCACTCTGCAAAATGAGCTGTGACCCTGACCAGGATAAGCAGACTGAAGATGGATGGATGGATGGATGGATGGATGGACGAAGAATTTCACCATGCCTTTAAAGCTGGGGCACAGAACACTGGGGATTTGGGTTAGGAGTTGGTTAATTTCCAAAAAATAAACTATGTATTTTCAACCCTCATCATTTTAATGACACCCAATGAGCGTGCATTTTGATATCAACTGGAAAAATGGAAACAGCTAAAAGTATTAAATCTGGCCATCATTCGACAAGTTTTACCAGTCCGTGAAATTTTTGCACAATGTAAGCTGGTCCATGGCAACTGAAAGGTTAGGAACAACTTCTTTAACCGATCTAGGCTCAAAGACACCACCTGTCTGCATATCAACACTTTAAATGTTGCAGTCTGGCGTCACTAAAATCACTTTGGTTTGATTGCAGAGCTGGTAAACCCAAAAACTTGATTTGATGATAGAACCATCCTTCTATCATTTCATTAACCTGTACTGTAGTGGCATCTCTGTCTTTGGTTTTATTTTAATCTCATATGTGATGAAAAATGCTATATAAATAATAGTGATAATATTCATCATCATCATCATCATGATTAATCTTCATAGGCTACCAGAGAACAACAATCCTCAAGGCGCTGTCTTCACCTGGGTGAAGATGATCGATATCTCATCAGGGAATTTATTTTAAGTTGACCAAGGTCACTAAGATCGTGTGCTGATAAGTAATAATGCACATTACAATACCTATCAAAACATTTATGAATTTACACAACTTGAAGCTTTTAAATATGTATAAACATGATTTCATGAAATCCAGCAAAAGTCTCCTTGAGGTAAAATTAAGGTGTTTTGTGTCTTTATATTACAATTTACAGAATTGCAAAGGAGATGATGTCCTGCCAGTTCTTCAGAAGACCTCCATGGGTATGTACATCATCAACAGGAAGGGAGAAGTGGCCAGTACTTCTACAGATATTGGAAATTTTGTTGAAGGAATAATCATTCTGGATGACACTGGCTTTGCAGCCAGGGCTTGTGCATTGATGCTGAGTCATCTATGCACTGAACTTGACCTACCCAAAAGAGCTACGATGCTATGAGTTTATTCAGAAGGCCCTCCTGCAGTTGGATGGTGACAGGCTTTCACCCAAAGTCCTTGGGTTAAAGAACAAAATTATGGGACTGTATGATTGATACATAGAGTTTTTTGATAGTACATGTTTTTTTCTTAAATAAATTCAGTCACTATTGAGTTGTGCCAGATAAAGACTGACTACATGAGAGTCTTAAGAATCTGAACAATGACTTATTCTTCATCTCAAATTTATACAATATGCCGCATGCGTTTTGGTTATGAAGGGAATACTTTACTTATTTCAGATAACATCCCACTCTGATGTAGGATTTATATTTTCATTCTGTATTGTAGTCTATGAATCTGAGTATTAACAGAAGGGTACACATTCCAGCTTACTGGTTGGTAATGTTTTATGTATACAGCTTTTGATATGAAAAATGTGTTGTGGATGTGCCACTTACTCCGCTTTGTTTTTGAATGGCATGTTTTCCAAGCTCTGAGTGCACATTATTTATAATGAGTGAATAAAATGTGCTTTTGTAATGTTTTTCTAGAGAGTTTGAATTTGAAAACAAATGCTTGGTGTTAATGTGCCACATTCTAGGAGTATTTTTTGATTAAACTACTGTATGTTTATAGTATTGTTGTTTTTATAAGTTCTGTGTATAGGTACTTTTGTTTGTTCTATGCAGGATAAAAATACCTGTGTAGTCCCCACCATTGTGCAGTGTGTTGCTTTTTACCCTGACATAATAAAGTAAATGTTGTTTTCTGTCTTTTTTATGTTAAGTTATGCTTAATTTAATTCAAATGTATAGGTTAATACCAACCCAAGATACACATTACATTTAAGTAGATGGAACAAGGGTGCTGTTGAAATAATTTTTAAAAAATAATGAAACTCTACCAACATTTTAGTTCTTATAACATTACATTTTTGAGCTATAGATACTTACATCTTTAACTTGAGTGAACTTCAGTGAGTATTTATATCTGATCTTAGATAAATTAATTTCTTGCAACCACTCGTCCTAATAAAATTAATTAAATCCAACAAAACATTTTTTTCAGTGTACCTATAGATCTGTGAAAAAGTGAAAAAGAATGAAATGTCCAGCAATGACCTTTAGGCACTTAACTCTTCAGCTTGATGACATTTGTTCTACATAATTAACAAAAAATACTAAAAAATAATTGGCTAATATTACTAATTCGCATGTTAGCGCTCAGTGTCTATAGCTGGCATGAACCCATGTCGTGCATAAAACAACTGGTGAACACTAGATGAATCTGTGCACGGGTCGCCGTGGGCTAAGGGCAACCTGAACACATTAACCGGAATGCAAAGGAGCTACAGTCAACATCCTCCAAAACATCAGCAATGAAATGGCAAAATCATATTTAATTAAACTCAACACAGAACTTGAACAGGGAGTTGTGTGAGACACTGTCAGGTACTCTGCATAAATTCTCAGAGGAATGACAGCCTGCGTGGCAGGTTGGAGTAAGACTTCTAATGGCATCGTGATTGATGGAAATACCTTCCTGCACCTCAAACAGCTATGCAACGAGAACCAAACTTGATTAGGATTAATTTGTCATTGAAATTGTCTTGGTAACTGCACAAACTATTAAGTCACCTTAGTCATAATAAATGACTATCAGACCTAGCGTCACTTTAGTATTCTGGTGGTGGGTAGATGCTTTTTTGAGCTTCCAGCAGTTTCTATCAGTTTATCACTAGAAACGCAACGCAGGTGTTGTACCGTAAAAGTTTTCAGGACTTGATCTAGCTTAAATGACAGACCTTAATTCAATCAGCATCCAAAAAACTGGTTTAGAGATACAGTATACTGGGATTTCAAATGTTGGGCTAGTTTCAGCTTTCGTTGGGCGGATTTTAAGCCGACCTTGGGCTGGAGATTTTTGTTGGACCTGGCAACCCTGCTCAGCATGAATCTTACCCAAACGATTGTCGCTCTTTCCTCCGGTGCCCTGCATGGACATGAAAGCAAATAAATACATTTTAAAGCATGTCAAGAAACCGGTGATTTACGTGACTACTTTGTTTCTATTGATTTTGCTTAGGCCTAACTGGCCTGGAAGTGTTGCTATTTAGACGGACCGTTCAGGCTGAAAAATACTCGCTGGTAATCTCGCCCAGTCCTATGTCACTTTTAATAAATACTTCAAAGGCGATGTGTCAGTCATGTCTGTTCGTCCATTCAGTTTGATCTACCTCCCATGTGGGGGCTACCTGGACTTCATGGCACTGGCCGAACTTCAGACTTTACAGTGCTTTAGGATTAATAACTTGAGAGATGCAAAATTAAACGGCCATGCAAAATTTCTTTCTTTCATACTAATATTTTAGTACGAAAAATTATTCTTTATAGAGGTCTATTTTACAGTGTTAATGTGGAGGTAAATACCTTACCATTTTTCTTCTGTGTGCCAGGTTTTTTAAGTTGCTGCACAGACCTACTATATCCTGTTGAGTCTCACATGGTTTCTCCCATATCACTTGTTCATGTGATGGGGAGGGTGCAGATATTTGTTGTAATCCTTGGATTGCATTTTGAAAGTCATCCTGCATCCTCTCTAACTTCATCATAATTCTCTTTTCAGAAGCCTCAATAAAGCTCTTGATAGCTGGGGGGGGAATTAATTTAACAGTGTAAGTGTAAAATACTGAAATTCCCCTTTAAGCAACCATTTGAGGTCTTACAAGACCATGGAGCCAAGCATATGGCCAGGCAAAACATACATTTCAAAATGTATGCAGACAGGCAATATGTGGCATAAGCAGGCCAGTTCTGCTATGAACCTTGAAAACAAAATAACTAAACGTAACTAAACAAATGCTTGTGTGGTTTTGAAGTGATGCACAATTAGTTGGCAGATGCTCTCATCCAAAGAGCATTTCAGGTGTGATCAAAACAACTGAGTAAGATGTGTAAAAGTTAGGGAACAGCCAGATTTGAACCAAAAAACACTTGGGCCATATCTGAGTATCCTACCACTAAAACGCCGTTCTGTGATGAAGGTGGTATTTCCCAATCATTACACCTAAAACCATGGGAAGGAGTGTAGGGTAAGGTGAGAGACCTCAAATAGGTAGGTGATAATACACTGACTGTTCTGCGGGAAAATTGTACGAGTCTTAAATACTGACATATGCTTCTACTGGGAACTAGTGCTGCCCCAAATGATTCTTCTTTAAACGATTAATGTAGTGATTTTTTTTCTGTATTTGACTAATAATAGTTGATTATGTCAAATAGTCATCCTAACCCTACTGGGAACCAATAGAGTAAGATGAAAGGGGGAGTGACATGTGGACATCTCGATTGATTGACTGCATTTTGAAGTATCTGCAGTGGCTTGGAAGTGCATGGAAAGAAGGTCCATAAATGGACCTTCCTTACAATAGTATAAATTAGAAATGACTATACCTTGTAAGTTGGCATCATGCATTGAAGAGATAGAAGTAGGTCTGACAACTGGTGATGAACAAACTTAACACAAGACATAAAATACAGTTCAATTATAACATTTGTTTATAAAAAAAAAACACCAGACATCAAAATAATTATACTGTGTATACTATGTAATTAAACACACAATTCAGGGGGAGCAGGTAATGCAGCTCCATGCTCTTTTTCTGTGACAGTATCATCATATAAATAGAATTATATAAACATGATTCATTTTCAATATGAAAGTATTTTAAAAAATACAATTCTAGTACCTTGTGAACTTCCCCTGTCCAAAGAAGAACTCATAGTACCTAGTGGATATCCGCAAGATAAAGTTTTACTAATTAGAAAATAACAGCCTTATGCCCTTCAATCAAATCTTTGCAGTGACTTTTGAATTTCTTTTGACAAGCTAATCAGAGTTATGCAGGGTTTGTTACACTGGGTTCTATATTAAGGTTGTATTGGCTGCTATATTTAGTGCAATGTTTATGCATGCTCTGAAATTTTGTGAATGTTGGAATTTCCTGTTGTCACTTTACTTTAAATGTATATTAAAGTACTTACACCTAGCTTTATTTTTCCTTCACGACAGGAACTCTTCATCTGTGTTAATGGGAAAATAATAATTACAAGTAAACAATGTAATCAATCAGTATGAGAAGAATTCAAACATTTCATAGCCATACTCACTCATTTAATGAAAATAGATCATTTGGTTGCATCACAATCACTGATTTTATGGTAGTAAGTTACTCATTTAATTTTGCAACTTTTTTAAAAGTCAGAATGTAATAAAACCTTCACTGGAGGAGTCCTATATAAATCTTGCAGGATGCCGCACCTTCCTCATACTGCCCCCATCAGACTCAACATTAGATGTTTCAAGTCCTTTTTGTGCCCTGTCCCTTGCCAATTGATAGTTGTCTGTGGATAAAGCAATTTGGCATAAACAGGAAAAATCCCTCACAGTAAACAACAGCACCTGTACATGATTAGAGAAAATCATCACTACCGTGTCCAATGAAAAAGCAGGATTGCAATAAAAATTACCTGTAAACGTGAAGACTCTGACTTGGTATTTAGGCCATAATTGTTTGTCTGCCATATCCCCTCTTTTCACCATTTTGCAGCGTTGTTCCGCGGCCAATAACAATATAGCTACTATTGAACACCAAAAATGAACAAAATATAGAAAAAAGATGTTCCTCTGTTCCAAGCAGTCTTCAGATACAATTTTCATTCGTGCGTTTCTCACATGCACTCTGTACGCTCCAATCAAACGAGAGTCACAAGGGCTGAGAAATAACGGCTCAACCTGTTCATAGACTGTACACTGGAGCATTCTTCCACTGTTCTTCCTCTCAGAAACAACTGAAACCACTTCACAAGATGTTTCTTTTAGCATGAATGTGTTGTTGGGATACTTTAGACCAACTGCATCTTCCTTAGTTTGTCTGCTTTTGGTTTGAATTAAAACTCTGCTCTCCTCAATTCTTTTCACGACTTGAGTAGGAGGACGTCTTCCAGAGCTAATTAGTTTTTTAAGCTCCTGTAGATAGTTTTCAAAATGAAAGGCACTGCAACTATCCAAACATCCAAATTCTTTTGCATCTTCCGGACATCGTACACCAAGAAGCCTTCCTCATATAAAAATCGCCCTTGTTCCACAAAAAATAAAAGTAATTCTTGCACATATGAACTGCAGCGCTGAGCGAGTTTTGGGGAGACAAGCATGCATAGAGCTACGCTAAAGGCCATGAAATGCTCAAACAACTGGTCTGGAAGAATTCCTTTAAGAACCACCTTTCCTGTGTACAAAGCGAACTGGCGAAATTCTGTTGCTTTCCATCTTTCAAGTTCTTCCAAACCATGCGGCTTCCTTGCAAAACATCTTGGCATAGCACTCCTTAGCTGATTTAATCTATGACTAACTTCTTTTATCTGCACAGGAGATAGTCTTACTGTGGAATGGCCTCTTGTCCACAGGAACAGCAATTTTCTCATAACTCCTAGACAACACTGATGCATGTGATCAACAGGAAAACACCTGATCATGTCAATTGGAAGATTACAGAAAGGGGAAATCTTTTCCTCTTGATGATGTTCTGCATACGTTTGTTCTCTGAAAGTCAGATCAGTCCGCAGTGTCAGATTTGTCACCTCCTGATAAGTCATTCTACTAAGCCATCTTCCCCTTTGTGTACATCTATCACAGCCATAATAACCAGAGTACTGCTTTACACATTTCACCATGGCCTTTGCTGGGGCATCACAAATAATGCACCTAATGTGTACTGCTAGATTTCTCCCTTCCAACTCCATTCCAGTTTCTAATAAATTAGCCAGATCACGAACCGTATCACTAATGAAGTCCATAGATGTAGGTTTTGATGAAGTCACTGCAAGCGATAATGGAAAGACAGACACTGGGTCAATGTCAATAGAGCTGAAAACTGGCCAGAGTGCTTGGTTGTTGCTTTTAAACAGTGGTAGCCCATCCACATTTAAAGAAATTTCCAAAGCATTCAAGGACTTTAGCATGGCTGAAGGGTAGGACTGCAAATGATCTAGGATTCTTTGTCTGACATCAAACTTAACATATTCTACCCCTCACACATTTTGTATTTGAATGGCCTGTGTGTTTCCTATTAATGTTCTTGCGGTGGTAGGCAGATCAGAATGTCCATGTTTTACCAGTACTTTCAGAAGAGTCAACTGCATTGTGCTTGAATTAAACATAGCCACCCATCTGGCTAATTCTTCCCTGAGAACTACTGCCTGAATAATGTCCTTCACTTTCTGATTCTGAATCGCTCACATCTGCAGCATTATGAACTTGATCTTGAGAAGGTAAATCACGACAAGAAGCAGTTTCTAAGGTATAACTGTCAGAATTTGCAGTAAGCATGTCTGGGTCCTGAAACAAATCCAGCTGTCCTTCACCTAGTTCACCATCACATCATGGTTGCTTCCACAGTCAACAGTCATCTCTTCCATCTGAAGTGTGCTCAAAGTGGGTTTTTTTATGTGATCGAGACACTCTTGCCCAAATCCGATTATACTGTTATTTCCTGTGTATGGTTTTGAAGGAAACAGACATGAATATTTGTCTCTGAAGAAAAATAACATTACTACCACTTAAGATGCAAGTTTAATTATAGTAGTAATTAATTCATAAGAATAAAATTTTATAAATATTAATGTTGTAATAGCTTTGCCTTTCAAAATAACTTTTGTAAATAAATGAAAAATAACTTACCTTCTCAATAATCATTTTCTCCTGAAAATGTGTCAATATGTAGAGAACTTTACAGTCTAACATAAAAGAGACCAAATAAATACAAAAAAATGGCCCCACATTGCAATCCTTAAACTAGAGGTTATCTATTGCAGTTCTATTGAACCACTTCCAGCATGCCTAGTATACTTTTACATGAGATGGGTCAGATTTGGTGAAGAATGCAACCAATCAAACTCAATTTGTGCCCTTTGTTTATACATACATACATATAAACTAGTGATGCATTTTTGCAACAAAATGCTGTGATTCCTCAAGTTTTGTAGTGAAAACTGGCCCAGTAGAAAGTCATATTAAAATGTATTGACGTGAATGGGGAATAAACGAGGGGTGATAAAAGCAAGTAAAAGAGTACGGGTCGAAAGAGAGAGATGTGTGTTCAGGAGGTGGCCTCTAAATGGGGAAAACGAATAGGCTCCTATGGGGAAAATAAGCCACAGAAAAAGAATGGATGAAAAGACGAATGCGGGTCATGGCGGTTACAAATATGCGCCCTCGAATCACGTCAAATTTGATGGCTTTATGAAGTCAGGCGGCTGCCCATGTTAGTCTATGGGGAAACGGACGAAAAAAATGGACAGAACTCGCGAACGAGTGCAAGAACGTGTTTACACGCACCCCACAGTATAGGTCTCACATTTCCGTGACTTACCACGTTAACAATGTTAATGCCATTTTGCAATCGTTTTTATTTTCGTTTCTCACATGTTCTGTCGGTTTAGTGATATTTTGCGCCAGAGCCCCTTAAACAGCAGTGGTCTCTCTCACGATGTGAGCGTTTGTAGCGGATGTTAATGCTGCGTCAACAGAGATATGGGCTCGATCGTATTTAAGTTACAGTTGTTTTTAAACATGTAGTCTCAAGGTTTAGGGAAAATTATTGTGTTATCACAAGAACACTACGTTCGTTTTCTCGCGATATTAAAGAAATAACTCCGTTATCACAAGAAAACAGTATAAAAAATGTTATTTAATTGCCTTTCTCGGCTTCGGTAAATTACAAATTTTACAGACATTTTAAGGCAATAAAAGGTTCTGGGGATGCTGTGTGGGTGCCATACGCTCAGAGTGTTTGCCCCTGCCTTACGTATGTTGAGTTTGCATGTTCTAATTTTGATCCTATCGCATAATACTGCTTAAACGTCTTCAACTTATTTATTTTAAAGAGGTTTTCAGTGACGATACATGGGAACGAGCATTTAAATAATTTCACACGCCACATCCGACAGAGATAGCGGCTTGCATTTAAGCACTTTAGCTCATAATGATATGTATCCTAATGGAAAATTTATAACAAACGATTACCTGGTGCGTGTCCTTCTACAGCTTGTCTGCGAACTTTAAGAACATAAAAAAATTTACAAACGAGAGGGGGCCATTCGGCCCATCAAGCTCGTTTGGGGAGAACTTAACTAATAGCTCAGAGTTGTTAAAATCTTATCTAGCTCTGATTTAAAGGAACCCAGGGTTTTAGCTTCCGCTACACTAGCAGGAAGACTATTCCATACTCTAACTACACGCTGTGTAAAGAAGTGCTTCCTCAAACTTGTTTTAAAATGTTCTCCCGCTAATTTCCACTTATGGCCACGAGTTCTAGTATTTAAACTAATATTGAAATATTGAAATAGCCATTTGGCTAAACAGCATCCAGACCCGTTAGAATCGTATAGGCCTGTCCCCCCCTTTAGTCTCCTTTGCTCAAGGCTAAACAGATTCAGCTCAGCTAACCTCTCCTCATACGACATTCCTCTAAGACCAGGAATCATTCTCGTAGCCCTCCGTTGCACCTTTTCTAAGGCAGCAATGTCGCATTCAGAGCGTATAAGAACAGCGCGCGCTTACAACTGAAAATAATTATCATATTTGACCTGGCAACACTATTTTCTGATTAGCTGATAGTATAGGTTGCTAGGTTAAGACAGTTGTATGCGCTAAGCAGAGCTATTGGCCTGCGCCTCGTCTCGCGAGCTTTATCGCTTCTCGGCGTGTGAATTATCAGGTGTGGTGTGTGAAATTGGGTGCGTTCGACTTGGGCTGTCTGTAGCTGATGTGACATGGAACGAGATCTGCCTGCGGCTGCAGGGGTGGAGTATAAACCGACTGCAGCCAAGTCGGACAACTTCTTGTAGTGTGCGAGACACAACTGCAATGGCCGCACTGCCAGAAGGGTGCAGATAAAGCTATACAAATATCACCGCATGCACGTATATTACTTCTTTTACAATAACCAACTCCTGATCCAAACTGTTAGCAGTGAAAAAAATAAAGTATTGTGTATAGTGGCTCTGTGTAAAAAGATAGCTGTCAGGAAAACGATCAAATACATTTATTTCAAGGATTCAAAGATTGAAATCGGACGTCCGCCTAACGTTATGAATGAAACGTTACCGGGCGGACCAAAATCGGACGTCCGCCTAACGTTGTGAATAAAACGTTACATGGCGGACTAAAATCGGACTTCCGCCTAACGTTGTGAATAAAAACGTTACCGGGCGGACCAAAATCGGACGTCCGCCTAACGTTGTGAATAAAACGATACCTGGCAAATTAAAATCGTATGTCCGCCTAACTTTGTGAATGAAACGTTACCGGGCGGACCAAAATCGGACGCCCAAAAACGTTACGGTGACGTCGCTTGTTAGCTGGGTGGAAATACCATGCAGTCATTTGAAAAAGAGTGTGCATTGTCCCCCACAGTTAACTATTCAAAGTACACTTCACTGGATCTGTGAATGTTTCATATTGTTTTAAAATTATTATAATAGTTGTTACATCATTTGTGCTATGAATGGACACTTAGGACAGGCAAACATTTAAAAATTAAAATAAAGAAACCGCAAGGGGTACGCGAAAGTTGCCATTAACTTTAAATGCTGATCCAATATCTCGTTACAGCAGAAACAGACCATTTTCGTGCATATTAACAAGATTGAACAAACAGTGTGCATTGGACACCATTTATCTATATATTTATATAGGCTACCGCTCCGTTTCGTCTGTATACCTAAACTTCCAGAAAGCAGTGTACAGAAGGCTACGACCGTATCTTAATACGTATTTAATGTTAAGCATAAATGAGCCTTAAAAGATTAAGATGAAAAAAGCAATAGAAATGGCATTGTAAATAAAGTAATAGAAGCAGCATAAAAACTCACCACTGGATGACTTTACAAATGCGTTGGTTACTATACGGTTAATGGCCTTTATATTAGACAAAGCATTTATTACAGAAATGTATGTAGTAGACGAAGCATTTCCCATGGAAGCCGATAAAGGAACTGAAATGTCATTAGTTTTAATATAGAGTCCTCGT